ACTGATGTTTGCTTGATCATATTGGCACTTTGGGTTTAATTGGTGAATCGAATGGCTTTCGAATTGATATATGACAACTGGATTGTGACTAGGACAGCCTATAATGATGACTGAGACGTGCAGTAGTGTTGTGTAGGGGTTCAGTTTTTCAATTGTTTGCTTACCAACTGTGACTTGGATTGATCACTTGTTCTTGACAGTCGTTTATGCATCTAGTTCAGGGAATCAAAATGAGAGATAGAGCATATAGGTAGCCATGTGAGATTTGAGCCTGCTCGTTTCTTTCTTGTGCGATAGATCCCTCTTCCATGATGTGTAGCATTCACGTTGTCCCTAATTACAATGATGGAGGCAAAGGAATAGCCCACGACCAAATTGATTGTCCTGGTGTGTCATACCCCCTAGTCAGCCCCTTTGAGTCGTGTCACTTTCGTTCTTTCGATCTACAATGAAAAATCACCCGTTTGCATCTCTTAGAAGGTTCCACAGAGTGGTTTTTGCATGTTCTCTACTATTTCTGCCAGAAATAATGTGAGTGTTGGAGGTAGTGCTTAAAAGTTGGGAATGTGTTTGAAAAATGTGCAGAGGTTGTGGCTCTCTCAAGAAATGAAAAAAAAATTAGAGTGAAAGTAAAAGAGAGCCACTACCAAAAATCTGAATCGTGCTCATTAAGTAGTGTTTCTTAGTAGTCTGGCTTAGAAATACTAACATTATTGTGGCCTCCTTCGCTCTTATACTCTAAAGAATTTGAGTAGTGCACAATGGCAGAAAGAAAGTAAGTGGTTTGATTGGCTGGGATCGTGTTGGGTTTGGAGCTGTGGAACCTTGTTCTATGAATACTTCCACCAACTAAAAGGCTTTTTCCCCATGTCCAAGTCCCTAGCCAGTCACTTGAACCTGTGTCTAAGACCTCCAGATTAGTTAGTGGTGACATCCCTTATGTGAACTCTAACATTTAGAGGCTGCCATTATGGTGAAGAGACGTTAGGATTTGAGAGAATGAGCATGCACATTTTTTGCATCAAATTGTCCTGATCCCACTGGTCGAGAGTGAGCGATTCATTTCCTTGTTCTTTATACTCTTTACCCCGGTGAGGACCTAGATGGCTCGATCTTGATTCTGATGTCTTGAGTTTGATGCATGAAATGACTGTCTTAGCTAAGTGGTTGAGTCGAGTCTATGTTGGTTGGTTAACAGAAGGGAGGCTCTTCCTTTACCCGATTTTGCTGCCCTCGAATGTCCTATGTGGTGGTTGTCTAGGTTGTTGTTGAAGTTGTCCATGTGTTAATGATCAAAAGCCAGTATGATTCACGTATTTTTGTGCCTATATGATATGTCCCCAAAGTTGGTATGATTGAAATGTGTTGAGCTTACCTTGTATCTGACTTGGTTTGCTTGGGGACAAGCAAACGGTTAAGTGTGGGGGAATTTGATGACTTGATATATACACATGTTTTGTCCACCATTTTTATACCGTTTGAGCCTCATTTCTCATATCTTAGGCCGATTTCACGCTAGGTTGCTCTTGTTTGTGATATTTCAGGTCCTAGTACGTGAATGGAGGTTTGGGAACGAGTTCGGGGTCGATTGGACGAAGATTGGACGTTTGGCGAGAAGCAGGGAAACCACACGGCCAGACCTAAAAATCACACGGTCGTGTGATGTGGCCGTGTAGAATCCTTTCGCGCGGGCAAAGTGCACTAGCCGTGTAGTGGACCATTTATGGCCGTGTGGAAATCACCAAAACCATCACACGGTCAGGCCGAGATTCCACACGGCTGTGCAGTTCTGGGCGTGCAGCGTATATGAACCCTCTTAAGTGGAACGCCACGTTTTTCACTTTCACACGGGCAACTGGGAACTCTACACGGCCGTGTGGCCTGGCCGTGTAATCGGGAAATTCTAGGTTTTAACCCAATTTCGGGTCTTTTGAAGGGGGATCGAGTTTTTTAGCAAAAAATAGAGCTTTAGAGAGAGAAAGTGCGAAGAACAAACCCTAGGAGCTATTTGGAGTGGATTTCTCACTATTGAAGCCCAGATTGCATCCCCAGGAGTGAAGATCAAAATCCCAGAGCAGATTATCCCCATCTTTATAAGTATGACTGCTTTGATTTCTGTTTTCCTCTCTCTCTATATAGAGTAGAACCTTCTCTCACTTGGGTATGAAGAACCCTAGTTCCATGTGTTAGGAATCTTGATTGTAATGACTTTGGATTGATATACTGATTGATTTTAATCGATTGATGCATGATTCATTGAGTCAATTGAAGTCTGATCATCTTTTCTTGATTTCTGCTGCAACCTGAGATAGATAGAATCTTATTAGGTTGTTAGAGCTTCATCAATCGATAGTAGTAGATTGGTTATACGAGAGTTAATCAATTTACTGCTTTGTACCGGAATCCAATTCCAGTAGTGGAGTTCTCTGTTTATTGCCTCAGCAGACTATCCTGGTGAAGGTTAGTCGCATGCCGGTTAGTCTGACTGAGAGGGCTTGGTCAACTTAAGAGATTCCAAGCTATTGTCGGATCTTCCGCAGTTTAATCAACGGTAAATCAACCCAGGGCAATTACAACTTTGCCCTAACTAAGGAGCTAGGGGGACTCATTCCCGAGTGACTCTTCCCTTGCTAAAGAACTTCGAACCATTTCCTACTTTCTTACTGCTTTTACTTAAAATCACAATCACTCGACTTAGTTTGCTAGATAATAGGTAATCACGGAGTAGGTAGTAGATCTAGACCCTGGGTTGACAAATAGAGCTTGCCACTTTACTGCATTTCCGGACTACGATTACACTTGGTCGCAGTTTGGTGTTGTGTTTTAGCGTGTCAATACGCTAGGGGAACTAGCTCTATTAACCTTTAGGTCAAGGATTGTGATTCATTAGAGAGTCTAGCCCTCTTTATCGATCAACCGAGGAGATTCCTAACTCTCTCTTAGTTAGCTAATTGAGAGTAGTTGCAACAAGTTAGGAAGCTAACTCACTTAACCTTTCAACTAAGGGTGACAATGATAGGCTAGGGAACCTAACCCTCTCAACTAGCCGGCTAAGGATTGCAAACCAAACCCTCAGAACTTAATCCGATTGGCGGAGCGACCTATCCCGCTGGAATCACGGCCCTACTCCGATATTTGAGATTTTGGTCTTAAATTGACCTAAAGGAGGTTACCCAAGTGGCTAAGGAGTCTAGCTCCTAGTTGGACAATAGGGGATTTCCACCCTCTAGGTTAATTTCACCCAATATTGAGTTAAAGATAGCACACTCAATCATTCATGATTAATACCTCAAATAACATATAAACACTCAATCAATACAATAGGTTCACGTTCTTGCATCCTAACATATAGAGAGACTAGGGTTTACAATACCCAAGTGAGTAGGTAGGCTATTCCATAGCTAAACAAGATAAAACAACAAAAAGAGAAGAAATAACCGGGAAGTGATGTCAATCTTTCCTCCTTGTTGCTTGAGACACCCTTGAGATGAAGAAGTCTTCAATCCTCTAGCTAGGAACAAGCCCAAAGCTCCTTCTTCCTCCTTTGATTTGCACTTTCTCACTCTATAAGAAACCCTAACCTCTCACTAGAATCCTCTTTATTCTGAAAAAATGAAAACCTAACCTAAAATGAAGCTCCCCTTTCTCCTTGAACTCCCCTCTCCTTTTATACCCAAATTAGGCTCAGTTCAAGGTCTTAAAGCTAAGTTCAAGGACGCGTTGAGCAGTTCGCGGTCTTAGTTCAAGGACGCGTTGAGCAGTTCATGGTCCTAGACCTCAGTTCACGACTGTGAACATTGAAAGCGTCTGTGAACTCAGTGCTGAGACCAAAACGCACCGCTTCACATCCACAGTTCACGGTCTTAGCGACCGTGAACTCACTCGACGTTAGTAACCTCCGGATTCGCCTTGGACGCTTCGCGGTTCACGGATTTTGGCTCCAGTTCACGGTCCTGTAAGACCGTGAACTCCAATGGCAAACCTTGAACACAGGCTGTTTCCTCCTCTTTGCTCCTTTTCGTCCAACTTTCGACTCCAGGACTGGTTTCACTTGTTAGATCCTGAAACACGCTAAAACACAAGAAACCTAGCGTAAAACCACCCTTTTTGGAGCACAAATGCCACAAACGTCTAAGGAAAATGGGGATAAAATGCATACAATTAGGCCTGAATCAATGCTTTACGAGCTTTTCGGTTATGCTTTATGTTTTTTTTTGTGATATGGGTTGTCGTGTTTCTGGTCTGTAGTATCTGATCTACTTTATGATACTTGTGGTTGTTGCCAACTAAGGACGAGACGCGTAATAAATCAGCATCACCACATGCGTAATCCCCTATAATTTTTAAACATTATAAACGCGCCACTCCCATTGAAAATCAGCATTAATTGTGGTCAACGCTATGAGAAAAGTATGAAATGTTATATTGATTGAACAAATTGATGTTAGCAATTTATCACCAAATGTTGTCTATATGTATCATAGTAGTATCAAAACTTATGTTTGGACGCTCGTGGTGGAGCTATCTTGAGTGTGATCAAGGTGTTGAGGCAATGTTTTCTCCAGTCTAGTTTTTATTTTGTTGGTCGTGCTCGTAATAGGGTGACCCATATGGTGGCCAAAAAAGCCCTTTCATTGTTCCCTAGTTTGATAGGGTTCGATTTTCGTTCCTGGCTCTGGTTGGCCAGCTGACTCTAATGTATCTTGATTATCTCGTTTAATACGAAGTATTTTTTGGTAAAAAAAAAAACTATGTTGCCTCGAGTATTTAAATTTTGTACAGTAAGTTCAGTGCTCAATCTGATACATATAGAAAATTTCAGTGACCAAATTGGTCACTAACTAACATATTAGGGAAGCAGAGCGAGCTCCTCCCACGCCTCTTTCTGTAATTTGGATTGAAATTACTCTTCCGAAGAGATTCATCTCGGTTGGGCAAAGGATTCTTAAACCCTAAAACACCTCTTGCCTCTTCCACAGCTCGTTTGATTCAATCACAAGATGACTCTGGAAATCGAAGCTCGAGAGTAAGTGCCATCTTTGTCGACAACTGGCATTCATTGGTTCGCGACTCGGTCGTATTCACAGTTCCTTACGTTGTTGATTTAACTTCTTCCTCTCCAAATTCCAGTGTGATCAAGATTGTACTTCAATTCTGCAAAGAGAACTCGCTGCATCAGACTTTCCAGACTCTGCAGACCGAGTGCCAAGTTTCGCTGAACACAGTGGACAGCATCGAGACTTTTGTCGCTGATATCAATGGCGGGAGGTGGGATGCCATATTGCCTCAGGTGGCTCAGTTAAAGCTTCCGAGGAATAAATTAGAGGACTTGTACGAGCAGGTAATCTTATAGGTTCCATTTTATTTGAATTTTACTTCTGCTAGGTGCTATTTGTTTGTCGACGAAGCTATTTGGAATTTGACACTGTGTTGGAATCAGCTGGACACTGGCAATAATTTTTAGTGGCCTTCATTGTGAAATTGAATCCAGATTTCCTTGCAGCAAGTGCCCCTGGAGAATACCTTTCTGGGTCGATTGGCATTTGACTATTTATATATGAATTTATATTTGATGCTTGCTTCAATGCATCAAAGTTTGTTCCTTTTCATAGTTGGTTTATGATCTGTTTAACCTTGCAGATTGTGTTAGAAATGATAGAGCTTCGTGAGTTGGACACTGCAAGGGCCATATTAAGGCAAACTCAGGTCATGGGAGTCATGAAACAGGAACAACCTGAAAGATATTTGCGACTTGAGCATCTCCTTGTCAGAACTTACTTTGATCCTAATGAGGTCAGAATGCATTTGTTCCAAGCTGTTCTCTTCCTTCCACTTCTTCCCACCCCTTTTAACTCATACAACCTATATGGCGATTCCCTTCTATAATGGGGCCCTGACACTGGTTCCTTGTGTAATTTCTGGGTTTTAGCTCTCTGTGCATTTTGAACTCTGTGAACCAGGGTAGTCCTTTTGCTAAGACTTAGTACCTATTTGCAAGATGACAGGCTTACCAAGATTCAACAAAAGAGAAGCGCCGTGCACAAATTGCCCAAGGTATTTCTCATTTTCGTTCAACACAGATTTCAACATAATTGAGGGATGTTCTCAATTTTCTTGTTTTTGTGTAATATGATGAGTGGGACCTGGTCTTCAATGGTGAAGCCTTATCTTGGTCCCTGCTTGTGTAAGCAAAAACTTCATTTTACTGTGTGGTCTAAGATAAAAGACCTATGGAATTTGTTGGAAGAAGAGTTCTTAAGAGAAACATATATGATTCAGTATGTTTACTTGTTGATTTGTTGGAATTAGTTCCTTTTGGTGTCATGCGACCTACTCAAATTTTCGTTAGGGCTAGTAAATTATAAGTTGATCTCCTCCTAGTATTGTTTTTTCTTTGAAGCCTACTCAGTTACATGCGTTGGGTTTCTCCGTTGATTTTTTTACTCGTAATGCTTACAGTCCTCTTAATGCCCTTTTCCTTTAGCGCTTGCTGCCGAAGTTAGTGTGGTTCCACCTTCAAGATTAATGGCTCTAATTGGGCAGGCACTAAAGTGGCAACAGCACCAAGGTATCTTTCTGCATATGGAAATCACATAATAAATGCCTTTGGAGAGTGGTAGTTCACTACACCGATACAATCTATGTGGTTCTACATATACTTGGTTGATGCATAATCATTTATTCTACCTTTTCCTCTGGTATGATACATGCTGATTCTGATGATGTGATAATTCGTATGGTTTTGGAAATTTTGGAAGAAGCTTTTTCTACTAGACGTTTATTCATAAAATTCAGCAATTGCATGGACATAAGTTGTCATTCTTGTCTGGGCGGTTAATTCTTTTGGAATGCTTTTACTTAATGTTTTCAGGGTTACTTCCACCTGGGACACAGTTTGACCTATTTCGAGGTACTGCTGCTATGAAGCAAGACGTAGACGACATCTATCCAACAACACTTTCACACACTATTAAGGTTGTTGTGCATACCATTGATTTGTGCATTTGTCTTCATTCAGCTATATGGCTACTTATTTATCTTAGTATACAGTTTCTCTCCTTGGAAGAGACACTGTTACATGAACTGTGTTCCTTAGCGTTGCATGCAATCCAGTTTTTTGATTATCCAAGCATAACTAAGAACACATAACCTGTTGTCTACGTTAGTCATGCTGAAAGATATTCCACGGTTCTTAAATTTGTATTTTCCTTGTGTTAAAACAATGGTTGATTTGGAAAGTATTCCGAATTATTTTTAGCAGTAACAGCCAACTTTGACAGGCTAGTGAAAAACCTTTGATATACTTTTGCTAAAGATCTTTTTGTAAAAGGTCAATTCTTCCTGCCAGTGAAAGTTCGTCATATTTAGTGTTATTACTTCTCTCTGTTATTTACTACTTAATTCAAGTTTTCTTACATCTCTACTCGTATGCTGCAGTTTGGAACAAAAAGTCATGCAGAATGTGCTCGGTTTTCACCTGATGGCCAGTTCCTTGTCTCATGCTCCGTTGATGGCTTTATCGAGGTAGGTTCTTTTGTTGTTCGAGCAACCATACTGAGGAGGATGAAGGATGCAAGACATTGACCTTGTTTTTTTTTTCTCCAAAACCTTTTCTCCTGGTTTCATAAGGTGTGGGACTATATGAGCGGAAAGCTCAAGAAGGATCTTCAATATCAGGCTGATGTGAGTTCCCTGGCAATTGTCCTTTGATTACTATTCTAAAATTATCTTTTGTAGAAGAAAAACGAGTCTCTTGTAGTCTTGTTTATATAGTTCATGTTGATTGATTCATAAATTCCCTTAAAAGAAGCTCTGTTTCTTGTCAGTGTGGGTGACTGCGTATCAACTTTTGTGCTGACTCTTCTTCTCCCTTGTATATATATATGGATTGTTGTGTTTATCCTTCTTTTTGTTCTTTGTGAATCTTCTGTTTGTTCTGTGTATGTTCCTTGGATATCTTGTAGATTTACGTTTGGCTTGCTATGGCCTGAGTTATTTTTAACAGCAACAGCTGCATCAATATAGGCGGTGAAAATACCAAGTATAGAATATTCTGATGTGTTGTTGTATGTACTGTGCTCCCTAGGTACATTTTAGGACAAATTTAAAAAATTGCACAAGAATAATTACTTTGAACGTCTTGCAGTTACTTATGAACATAATTTTTTTACAGGAAACCTTTATGATGCATGATGACCCTGTCCTCTGTGTTGATTTTAGCCGTGATTCTGAGATGCTTGCTTCTGGTTCACAAGATGGGAAGGTGAAAGTAAGTTTCAGGCATTTATGCTGGTTCTTGAATGATTATAAATTTCATGGTTTACTACTATTGAGAAAAATATTCAGTATATCTATCCCTTCAGTGTTATGTAAAATTTCTATGAGTCTTTGAATATGCTACTGCTTTCTGTGAGCACACACATACTGTTCATGACTTCTTTTTTAGTATGAATGTCTTGGGCTGAATTACTTGATGAGTGATGACAACCGTGTTCTTGATTAGCCAATCACAGTCTTCTACTTGTATAAATTTTGCTAAACTCGCAGGTTTGGCGTATAAGGACAGGCCAGTGCTTACGTCGCCTTGAACGTGCACACTCTCAGGGTGTCACGAGTTTGACATTTTCACGTGATGGTAGTCAGCTGCTGAGTACCTCCTTTGATAACACAGCCAGGTTCATGGAACTACGATAATATTCTTCATATAATGTAATTTATTACTCAACCAAATTTCCTTTCGTTGAGATTCTTATGGTTCTTTACATTGTGTTTAATGCAGGATTCATGGCCTAAAATCTGGGAAAATGTTAAAAGAGTTCCGTGGCCATTCTTCTTTTGTAAATCATGCCATCTTCACGAGTGATGGGACGCGTGTCATTACTGCTTCTAGTGATTGTACAGTCAAGGTATGTACTTGTGACATTTTTTCCGATTCTTAGTTTTTGCCATTGTTTTGGCTGCATGACAAATTTTTACCTGTTTGTAGGTTTGGGATGTAAAGGGTGCAGAGTGTATACACACATTTAGGCCCCCACCACCATTGAGGGTATTGCTCACTGTTACAATACGCATTCTCAAGTCTTGTTCTTTAGCTTCTCCTCTTGCCCATCCTTGAATAACTGATATTTTCTGCTGGACTGTAGGGGGGTGATGCATCTGTCAACTCTGTCCATCTCTTCCCCAAAAACACTGATCACATTGTTGTATGTAACAAAACGTCATCAATATGTATAATGACACTACAAGGGCAGGTAACAACAAAGCTTTCTTCTTCAACCAGTAACCAAGAAGGAAATATGCTTTTGACTTGAAATGTTTCTTCCATGATAGGTTGTGAAGAGTCTCTCATCCGGTAAAAGAGAAGGTGGAGATTTTGTAGCGGCCTGTGTATCACCTAAAGGGGATTGGATCTACTGTGTTGGTGAGGATAGGTAATGCTTGACCACCTCATGGTTCTGTAGCTCTTGCTGTGGTTTGAATCTAAAAAAAATGTCCCGGTAAGGAAAATGGGGTTTGCTTAATCTTCGTCTCGTCACTTCTAACCACCTAGGTTTATACCTTAGACCTTGGTGGCTGGCACTGACAAACAACTAGCAGATATATGATTTCTTGGAGTTGTTGACTGTGTCTGATTGTTGCTGTTCTTAATTGATGAAGTTGTGCCAATTTTGTTAATGCAGGAATATGTATTGCTTCAGCTACCAATCGGGTAAATTAGAGCATCTAATGAAGGTCAGTTTCCAATTCCTGGATATTAAACAAACTAGAGGTATAATTGAAAGAGCCAATCTAGAGGTGGCAAATACCAACCCAACCTGAGCCACTTAGCACCTTAACTCAACCCTATTTGGCCTAGATTCATTGGGCTGGGGGATTAAAGGGATGGGTTGATGTTTTGATCCCAAAATTAGTACCTTGATTTTTTAGCCATAGGTTTTAGTGCCTAAACTTCAAAGTCTTCCAAAATAGTCCAGAAATTAAATTCAACTTTCATTGTGCCTATTCAATTATGATAAGGTATTGTACATTATGATACTCATCCTCGTGATATAAACATCCACCTCTGCTCTTGTACAGCTCAGTAGTCAGTACCCAACTTATAAATCCGACCGAAAAAACACTTGAACCCATTTTGACCCAACCCGTGAACTCATGAACACAACACATATTCCACCTCTAGTCAATTGTCTACTCATTTCCCACACATAATGGGTTTCTATTGGCCTTTTGTCCGAAAAGCTGGCTATCTTAACTGTTTCCGTACGAATCTCGGTAAATCTTCTCAACTGTTTTGGGTGCATGCATTGTCTTTTGACTGGCTAGGTTCACGAGAAGGAAGTGATTGGTGTGACACACCACCCCCACAGGAATCTTATTGCTACTTACAGCGATGACTGCACCATGAAATTATGGAAGCCCTGATTACTTTCTGTGTCACTCCGATGATGGAGTTTCGCTGATGGAACTATCTCTCTGGTGGATGGTGGCAAAGCAGAGACTAATTGCCCTCTCTCTCTGGCGGATGGTAACAAAGCAGAGACTAATTGCTCTTTCCCATGATCAGTGGAGGAAGGCTATTTGCTCTTTCTCCAACTGCTTGCTCTTTTCTGCTGCGAAGTGCCAATTTGAATCTTCTGTAGGTGCTAAACGGGCTCTTGTGACTATAGGGAGAAGAAGCTGATTTCCATAGGGAGCTGAATCTTGTGTTGCTCTCATCTAATGTCTCATCTTTCTTATTATTTTGATCTGAGCTCTTTTACCATTATCTGCCTTTCTGACCAATCCAATTGTTGTAGCTAGCTTGACATGAAATTGTTGTTGGCATCGTGGCCCTTAGAAGAGCCGTGAAGCTAGTTATGAAGGAGTACTGGCCGTGCTGTAGGATCCGCAGATACTCTTATGTTATTTATATTTGCAACATCATCAGTTACTAAGATTTATGGGTAAGGGTTAGGAGGTGTTTGTTTGATGGATTTGAAAAATGGAGGTTTTGGAAAATTCAAGATTTATGATGGTTTGGAATCCAAATCTAAAACAGCTACTCTATTGTATCCAAATATAAACAAAATCCAACTTTTGTCTGGGAATCAATTTTCAAAAAAATTTACACACATCCACAAAATTTTAAACTAACTCATCTTCCATTCCATAAAATTTTTAGAGTGCAGTGACTTTTGGTAAATTTCGAGTTAAACATATTTGGGATGTTGTAGAGGTTTCCTATCGACTATTTCAGTGAATAAGCTGACCAGTTATGATTTATCAATAATATTATGCCCACTTCCTATGTTAGCCTGTAGAGGTGGACTGCTAGAATGAAATGGTAGGTGGGGTTACCGGTAGGTGGTGACAAATCGATTCACCTGTCCAACCGATCAACACATTTTATTTATTGTTAAAATTTAAGTTTAAGGTTAAGTGAGTTTTTTTTGTTTACAACTAGCCTCTGTTGGGTTGGATGCAGATTTTGGGTAAAGTAACCTGTAGAACCTAACTCAACTCGTGTTGAACTATTGTCATAAGTGTTCGTACCAAAACATATTTGTGAGAAAATTAAGCTATCTTGACATATTTTTCTATTGTGGTTCTCCTGGCCTATTACATTTTTCAACTTAATGTTTAGACGTAGATTTAATATAAGCTATGATTCACGTAATCTTTTTTCTTTTTGTACAATTTTAGAAGAACAATATATTATGAATGTGTTAGCTTATAACAACTTTAGCTTATTTCGACAAATATTTATAAAAAAACTAGACATATGTTGAAGTAAATTACATTTCATTAAATAAAATTCAAACAACATTTATGTATATTGATACTTTTCTCCTCGATTTATTTGTTAAAATTTTAATTAGTTATATAATATTTCTGTAGGAAGCTCCGATGGGCAGTCAAGGAACGATGGGAGGAGAGAAAGGCGATCACATTTAGAGAATTCTAAGGAAGAGATGAAGACTAGGATGGGGAGTTTGAAGAAGAATGTAATCAAGAAGTTGAGCAATTCCAGGCATTCGCTAAAGAAGAAAAGCAAGAAAAACGGGCTTAACCATGGGGAGGAAAGAGACACTTGCTACTCTGCCACAAGTATTTTGGAAGGATGACTCATTCTAATTACAACATTCCAATCGACGGCGAAGTATAACTGCCGATCAGGTGTAACATAGGGCAAGCAAGCAATAAAGATTTATCGTACCACGGGGATCTAGGTTTACTCTACTTCAGGTTTAGGGTTTGTTATCTAGCCAACCTAGGATAGTGATTGATATAATTAAACTAACAAACCTAGACAAACCACTAACCTATCTATTTACAAGGTTGAGAGTTCTCTTGGGTTGAATCGTCCTAGGTCCGTACTTTGGATCGATATTGGGTATCCTCCTAGCTCAATCGACTGAAATACACTATCGTTTGGAGATGGACTCCCTCGGGAACGGCCCGGAATAGCGAATCGATGGATGGTTAATGCTCTATTCAACCTAGGATTTCGTATAATGCTAAGAGACCGATCGAATCAACTCCCTCGGGGACTACCTGGACAATATACGATAGGAGTGACCCGAAGATGCCAAAAGGGGGATCTAAGGGGATTATCTCCCTCCTAAGTCAAAAGCTCAATCATGAAAATGGAAACCTAACTCATGCCATTCATGAAAACATATATCAATTAAGTAAAATCATCAATCAATCATGGAGTTTGTCACATACATCAACATTAAACCCAAAGCTAGACCTAGGGTTCTTAAACCCAAGAGAAGAGGGTGAGTTTCTAGAGAAAGAGATGAGAGTTTACAAAGAAACCTCTAGATCTTCATCTTCTTCTTCTAGGGTTGATTCCTAGCTTCCAAGGTTGATCAATTCTTTCAATTTAGCTCCAAAATCACTCACTCTCTCTCTCTCACTAGAACTCCCATATGGTGTTTTGGGTTGTAACCCTAGAGAAAGAAAGTGTTCCTTCTCCAAAAACCAACCCCCCCCCCCCCCCCCCCTTCTTCTTCCTTCTACTGCTGTTTTTATACCCAGGTCGAGCCCAGTTCACGGCCTCTGTTCACAGCCGTGAACACCTTAGCGCGTCCATGAACTCAGTGTCGTATCCAAAACGCACTGCTTCACTCTCCAGGGTTCACGATCTTAGAGACCGTGAATTACCTGGTCGTCAGTAACCTTTGGAACCTCGCTGGACGCCTCGTTGTTCACGGTTTGTGGTTCCAGTTTACGGTGTTGGGAGACCGTGAACTCCAATGCCAGGCCATGAACTGCGGCGGCTTACTGAACGCCTGCGCTTCACTGTTACGGGGCAATTATCACGGTTGGACTTTTCTTCGTTTGTTTTTGCGCTTTTTGACCTCCAATTATCCCGAAACTCGTCCTCGACCCTTCCACATGTGCTAGAGCCTGAAATGTATCAAAACAAGCACAACTTAGCGTGGAATATGTCGAGGAACGATGAAATGTAAAGTCAAACTGTCAATAAATGAGGGGCAAAATGTGTACAATTGGACCCGAATCAACGGACCACCCTCTTTCCGTCACAATAGAAACTCAGAGGAGAATGTCAAGGATGTTGAAGGAAGAGACTAAAATACATTGGGTACCACTAAAGTATGAGAATTGGATGACATATACCACTAAAGTTCAATTAACCGTCTTGTACCACTTAAGTTAAATATTAGTATATCCATTCAAAATTTTGTTAAGTTGACTAACGATTGAAATAAAAAGTTATTTTTGGGCCAAGTCATCATTGCCAAATTGACGGAGAGATGTTTAATCAATAAAATTTTTAAACCGACTTTATTAACACCAAATCCTAACAAATGAAACAACAACCCGCCAAAATCCAACCCATCCCTCTAGCCATTTCGTTATTCCTTTGTCTGCTACTTCATTGTCTCTATAAAAAAAAAAAAAAACAATGGCATTCCAAATCAAAGATATACGACAAATCTCAGGCAGAAGCCAAATGCGGTTGCACTTTGGATAACCAGGAGATTATTGTCCTTCCTAGCACATCGTTCACAAAAGAAGTGGTCAACTCTCACGGTTGCCGATCCGTGCATCAATCAGACGCCAACGCCACATTTAGCAAGCTAATTGAAGCTCTCGAACCGCTGAAACCATTTTTATCTCGCGCTCCAACAACGCAGGTTAACCCCTCGTTGATATAACCGAGGGAACTAGAAAAAGGGATCCCCATCTTTTTACCAAATCTCATGTAGAAGGAACACCATAGTTGCGTTCATCGGAGAGGAGAAAGGGACAAAAGAGATTGGATTAGTGAAGCGAGAAATAGGTTTGTTTTGGGTCGACTGTAATCTGATTATTAATAAGGTAGGTTTCAAATTTTATTGAATCAAAAGCTCTTAGTCTATGTGGTAACGGTAATGTGGCAAAAAAAAAAAAAAAATTCCGAATAACTGGCATGTATTCAAAAATCACTCAACTTTAGGGGTTACAGAGCCATCAACTAAAAGTTGAGGTATTAGAAAAATTAGGGGACGTGATTGCCAAATTTCCGTCTCCTCTGATCGATATCAAACTCTTGCCATACTGTGAGCACTTTTATATCCTTTCCGGCTCCAAAATCTCCACCTCACATTTTCTTCAGCCTTCGCCAGATCCCAATTTCATTGCAAATCCCAGCCACCTCCCAATTTGTTGCCTCACTCTTATCGAATTTCTGAAATACTGATTGGCAATCAACTTCCATCAAAAGCGATATAAAATGGTGTGCTTTTGGTAGCTTCAAACCCTAGAGTAAGGATAAAGCTTCCACCATCTCAACCAACAATTTCATACTCATCCGGTGAACTGCAGCCATATAGGAATTGCCTTTAACCATCCCGATGACAAGGCCAAACCCAGTCCCGCCTTCGCCCAAGATTGCAGCATCGGTGTTCATCTTGAAAGATCCCGGCAACGGTGGTTCCCAGGAGAACTGGGTTTTGATAGTAGTGTCATTATCCCCTGTGGTTTGTTGTTGTTGGTACTCTTCCAGGTAATTCTGCGCCCTCACCACTATTTTCCATTCCTCCAGTGTCATATTGTTGAACAAGTGGTTATTTCTCTCTTTTCACAGAAACCATAGGGTGATTAGGACTATAGCTAGTTCTTCTTTGTTCGTTCATTCACTCAGGTTGCATAGCCACTCTTCACAGTTCCAACCCTCCTCTATCATAAAATACTTCGCCAGATTGCTAGATCTCTAAACCCTTTCTGGCCATTCACACTCACTAGTGATGTGTTCTTGAGTCTTAACCAAACCAAAAAACGGGCATTCGTCCATATGCTTCCGAAATTCGCCAGCTTAGATTAGCCCCAATAGGTAAAATGTTGCTTCCCCACCTCCATACGAAGATCCTAACTTTAGGAGGCAGCTGAAGCATCCATAGATGTTTCCAATCTATAGGCACACATTTTTC